GTTCATGGACAGAAAAGCACTAGTAAAGCTTCATTGAAACTGATGTGACTACTCTGGAACTAGAATTGCCCCAGAGATAGCTTCAGTAGTTAGGGGCTTTCCTACCTGAAAACTGCTCTGGTGATAAATTCTTTGTAGATGTGAGGATCTATATAATGTACCACTTTTTACTTGGGAACTATTATTCAAGCATTTTAATATTAAGTTCTAGTCAATTTAAAAATGAAAGATCAAATAGTTGTCTGGTGACACTGTAGCAATCCTTCATGTGTGTTGTCACTTCTAAACAGTTCTCTGCAGTAAAACACATCAAGCAACGACAGGAACACTGCAGCAAATATAGAAGTATAAATCATTCTGGCCTATCATAGCTCCCAACTGAACCTAATTTGGAGGGACTGTTCCTTTTTTGAGACCAATTCCATCTGTCCCTTTGTGCAGCTTTAGTGGTACCTCTTTTTGCTCTCACGTGTACATTTCTATTCATAATGTACTATTTTATTACCATAGGCGCTGCACTAAACTTATTACCCAACCTATATATCACTGCTCAATATAAATGAAAAAAAATAGTGGTAAAAAAGCACTTTTGTGGTTTAGCCAATTGTTTTCTGTGTAATAGATCAATGTGGTCTGTGTAAGCAGGGCCATGGAAGGGATGTATCCTTTGCCTACATATTGTGTGCTAAAAGGTGTCCCCCCTTATCATTTCTGAAAGTTGGGAGGTGTGCTATTCCTGTTTGTGCTTTCAATCTGTTATGGAAAATACAAACTTTATGAACTTTAATATAAATTAAAGTGATACTGTTCTAATCGCAGTCCCTTGCAGTAGAAAGTCTCCTACTGTCAGGAATGGACTCGCCAATAGTGGTGGGACTCACCTGCCTTGTGGGTTGCAGTACCAGGACTGGCCAGCGGGTGCTCTCAACAACCAGAGGCTCACTCCGGCAATTAGCCACCACCTGGGGCTGATTGCAGGTGGTGTATTTAAGGGATGGCCAGACCTGCAGTCAGTGCCTTGTTGTACTGTTTGCTTGGCCCTGGTTTCCTGATCCTGTTACTTCTGTCCTGACTCTGCTTGAACTCTGCCTGTACTGACCTTGGCTAGTCCTGACCACTCTCCCGCCTGCTCCTGGTACTCCGTTTGCCCGTTTGCTACCGACCCGGCCTGTCTGACTACTCTTGTATTGTATGTTTGTTATCTGTTGGAGGTTTGGTTCAGTTTGTTTGCACTGTGTTTATGTTTAGTTTTGCACTGTGTTTGTATTGTTATTCTTAATAAATTATATTATTTACTATATCTAAAGCCTGCGTTTCCCTGTGTCAGTCCACACACTTCTGGTCATACCCGCATCCCTAACACCTACCTTCACCTCCACTACATTCCAGTGCTGCAGCCTCCATTGTCTTCCGTTGTCTTCAGCTTTCATCCCTTATGGAAGTTTTGGATGCCTGTCTTACCTGTTACATGTATTGGTGTGATGTAAGGGTCAGAGGATGGAGTTAAAGCATGTGGAGGTTAAAGTGTGGGATACATACCTAGAAGTGTAAGATGCAGAGACTTGACAGAGGCTGCCGTGCTAAAATGAAAGAAATCACCGTTCTCAGCATAGCATATATCCAGAATTTTCTTAACGGCTCCTCTGTTAAGTCATTCACGTCCCTTCAGCGAGAATTTCAATTATCTCCCCAATTACTTTTCACATACCTTAGGATATCTTATTGCCGATCTAAACAATCCTACCCCTTTTACATACTCCCAAAACCCGCTTAGAACTACTTATCTCACTCCTGAAATGAAACAAAGGTATCTCACTTTTCTACAATATTTTAAACCAAAAGAAATCATTTACCATGTCCAAACCACTTCTCTAATGAGAAGATGATCTTGCTACTGCTTACTCTGAGCAACAATGGATTCCCGGTCTACAATCAATTTACCGATCCACTTGCTGCTCAGCACTTTATGAATTAACACAAAAACTCTCCCTCAGATGGTATTTCACTCCCAGAATAGCACATTTCAATAACCAAATCTCCCCTCTATGTTGGAGGAACTGTGGGAATCCTGGGGACTTTTTTCACATCTTTTGGCATTGCCCGCTCCTAAACAAGTTCTGGTCTACAATTTTCCAAATTATATCTGCTGTTTCACAGTCTTCTGCTCCCTCTAATTCAGATCTAGTGCTATTGAATTTAAATATTGAAACTATTAACCCCCATGCCAGACACACTGTCACCCACATCCTAATGGCAGCCAGATTGAGCATCACCAGATTCTGGAAAAATTCTCAACCGCCCACTGCGTTTGATGCTCTCATATTAGCTCACAACCATTGCTCCTATGAGCTTGCAATGGCCTCTAGCAAAGGTAAATATAAAAAAGTATTTTCCCTTTGGCAACCCTGACTCAGATGGTATCAAACATACCCACTTATGTAAACACCTTTACTTTTGTAGAATGCTCTTTCAATGCTTTCTCTAAGTTCCAAAATTTCGAGTTTATATGCTAACTTGTCACTTTAATCTTTATATTTGTTTCACTGTGTTTTATTTATTTTTTCTAATATTGTTACTGATTGTAGATTATTGCTCTACTACACATTTTTTTATCTTGTACTTTATGCAAAAATTCCAATAAAAATTATTGACAAATAAAATGGAAGAAAGACAGGAGACATGGGCTGTCAAAGGACTGACAGGGTCTCTTTAATTATAACACATGACAATACCATATGGCCAGCAGCAGAGGTGTTTTTTTTTACTATTTATTTAAATTAAAGCACATGAAACACACATTTATAGCAATTAAGCTAAATATTTCCATAAAAGGCATACTGCTAAAAATAAATAACGAAAATATGATTTTTTTTTGTACTCACTGTAATATTCTTTTCTCTGAACCCATTAAAGGAGACAGATGAGATCATTGATCTGGAACACTGGGTTATACTGCCACCTGCAGGAGTAGGACAAAACACCACAAACAGTCTAGCGGCATCCCCTGCTGGTAGCCAACTCCTTGTCTGCTACTAACAAGTAGGGATGAGCTGAACTGCCCTGGCTTTGGTTTGAGCATGGATTTAGCGAGCTTCAATAAAGTTCAGATGCCAAACCTGATCCTCATTGAAATCAATAGGAGCCAAATCTGCCAAATCAAAATGCCCATTTGCTGGACTAAGGGAAAAGGGGGAGGACACTACCCAGACGTTCCTGAGTTTGCAAAGGAAAAGTGATTTTAAATTTCTGGCAAATTACATTTCTTTTCTGACATTTCTTTTTTTCTTTGGAGAGGTCTGTGTGCCATTTGTTTTCTGAAACAAACTAATTTGCATAGCATCCCCCCCAGAACCAATACTATATCCTTCGAGTTTGGTATGGATTTTAAGGGAATACCTCAGGCAACAACACAAAAAGGTGTGAGATCCCCCAGAAAATGTCATACCAGACTCTTAATCCAACCATGTAGCCATGCTGATTAGGAATTGGGTGGATGAGAGTACACCCCTAAACCATGAAAGGCGACATATCCTCAACATGAGACTCCCCTGGAAAAGCACCCTGTCCCCATGTTGATAAGGACAAGGGCCTTTTCCCTTGTAACCCTGGCTGGGTGTTGTAGAGGCCTGCAGGCAGGGGGCTTATCAGAACCTGGAAGTCGTCTTTAAAAATGAGGGAGCCTCAGATATTGCCCCCCATGTGAATGAGTAAAGGGTACATAGTACACCTACTCTTTAACAAAAAGGTAACCTAGAAATAATAACACCCAAATGTTTGGCAAGTCAAAAATGTAAATGCCCCCAAAAATGTCTCTCATTGTAAATCCATTGTCAATCATAATACTCATCACCCGCTGACTAGCCAAAATTAAACACCAGGCAGACCTATCACAAGGGTATCTCTCATAAAATGAAAGCTTCCTGAGCTGTCAACAGCAATATAAGGGAAGGGACGGGGATAGTAGTGACATCATTGACCAGATATGGCCATGGCTACAATCCTGCAAATCAGGCACAACAGATGTTTCATTGGGGAAAAGACATATATTAGAGTGTACCATGGTGACACTGGGGCATCCATTGCATCCACCCATCTGGGAGGAGACACCACTGATCCAAGATGTGATATAATTGGCCTGCCAATTGTTGACTCCTGGATTGTTCACTGGGGAGAGGTCCACATCATGTCTCTCTGGTTATTGGAAAATGTCGGAAACCTCCAGCACCCTAGCTATTCTGTCCCCTTGATAATTGCCATATGCTGTGACCATGGTGTTGTCTGACTGGACATTGACTGGATGGCTTTGAAGGCATCTGAAACAGCTGGACCATTCTGCATTCAAACACATTGAACAGAAGACAGAAACACCTACAACATCTATGTCTCAGAAGGCTGTCACCCATCATTATGACCATCCAATTAAATTGGTGGGATGATTTCCTGGAAATGATCAATAAGTTGATCAATTCCATAATAAATTTGTAAACTTGCACAAATTAATTGAGAAATCCAGGATGTGGCAAATTCCATCCTTTTTGGGGAAAGTGAACAGGTTCCCTTGAATTTTTTTGAGGAAGAAAAATGAAACAATCATCCAACTTAAACTTGCTTGTAAAGGTTCTCTAGGTATAAAGACACAGGTCTGAGGCAAGGAAACACTCTGAGGAGTGTAAAAACTCTATCTTGTCCCCCAAAGTTATCAGTTTGTGCACCCAATTGCCACACAATCTCCAAATCTAAAAGATGACCCCCAACTTGAGGGTGTTAAGTTGAATGCCCAAACACTTACCTGTTATTATTACCAAAATCTCTGGTCATGTAAGCAAAGAGACAGGGATAGTTAAAAAAAGAACAATGTGGGGGTTCCACTATAATTCATACCCGGCCCTTTACTTCAGCTATTTATTTTAAGGGGACCCCACACAAAAGACAACAGCACGAGCCCCCCAAAAATTGACAACATATCCTTATCTGAGCATGCAGCCCAGTATCCAGGAAATGAGGGTGTCTGTCCTTATTTATAACCTTACATTCAGGGGCAGACTGACCATTTAGAAACTCGGGCATTGCCCGAGGGCCCGGGGTCAGTAGGGGGCCACATGAGATGCCCCTGGTACCTTTTTCATAGGCTCTTTTGAGTTTGGGCAAGGACACAGGGGCCCCATGATCCCCTATTGCCCGGGGGCCCCATGAGTTGTCAGTCTGCCCCTGCTTACATTCTTTTTTTGGGGGGGGAATGAGTAGAGCTACTGGAGCAGCAAAGCAGCCAGCACAGAGCGCTCCCAGGGAAAAAGCAGGCAAACGATTATCTAAAAAGGTATGAGAAGCTGGGCACTGTCGCTGGGGACATGTGGCAATGCAAAAAATAAACAAAACAAAAAAAGAAGAAAAATACTGTACAGCAGGAAGAAGAGAGAAAACAATGTTAAAAAATATACAAATTGTTTAAGTAACATGCCCTGAGGGATGCCTTAAAGCTGTATGAGGTCTTGCAGAACAGTATGATTTTCATGGACAGTCACTGGCGGGGCTCTGTAGGAGGCCAGGAGTAAATGGACAGCCGGTCTGTTGTACTGCCCTCCAATCCAAATTGCCTAGATGGAGAGGACAGTTCCCTTCTGTTTTTTTAATTGACCTTGATAAGTTTGAGGTAGGTGGGTGTAAACGGACACAAGTCTGTTTACACCCGCCAGTCCATAGGGATACAAGGACCATCCATCCAATAAAGTCCGTCTGAAAAATGGACAGATGGACCTAATCAGATCGCCATGTGAAAAGGGCCTTACAATTATCTTGGCTTACATCCAGTTGCAACCTCCCCAATCTAATTCATTTCCATTTGAAAAAAGACTTTTATTAGGTAGGTTTAGCAGTCATCAAACAGTATTAAGACAGCTTTGATTGGCAGGTAAAATTGTCCAGCAGTTTGCCGTGGCTGTCTTTGATCTTGCTGATGTAAAAATTGCCCTGCCGCTGGCCAGTTTCTACCAAGCTCTCTTTAAGAATAAAGGAACTGTAGGCAATACAGTACTGCAAAAGTGTGGGATATTTGCAGGAAAATCAAAGTAACCTGGTAGAATATTGCTAGATGAGAAGTAATTGTAGACAATCAGCTGCAGTCACTGTTTTGGTATTCTGACAGCTGAGGGTCCTGCCTTTCAGAATACAATAGCTGGTATGGAAGATATCTTCATCCGCTTTATTTAGCATGGATGGAGGAATCTGTCAGATTTCTTTCATTCAGCCCCTTTTATACTTGAAACCAGATAAACTCATGGTTGTTTTCTTAGTAACTCATATTTACAGTTACATAATTAGTCAGACACATCAGTTCAACCAACAAAAAAAAATACACAAATAGAAAGCATTCATATATACAATCCTAAACCCACATTTTATCCAGAGATAAGCAAAAAAAAACTCCAATAAAGCATGATCCAATTCACTCCAATAGGGGGAAAAAAATCAGATATTCCCTGAATTAACTACTCCTGGTGTTACTACCTCTAAATATTACTATCTAATTATATTTTGTGCATTTAGCAGATTTACTTATACAGCGGATGTTCTGTGCAAAATCATGTATATAAATGTGATTTTGCACTTCCGCCACTGGGGGGCGTGGGTGCACCTCAAGAGCACCGCTTTCATTGTGATTGGGCGCAGCAGAAGTCAATCAACAGGTGCCAGCCAATGGAGGAGCACCGCAACCCGTTGATCGCTGAGTAGACTGATAGAACACAACTCTGCCTGTATATACAAGGCAGAGCTGTGTTCTCTCAGCGACATTCTGCTAGATTTTATTCAGGGAATAAAATATAGCAGATTGTCTACTACAAATAGCACATAGTAAGCACAAAAACACTGGCTAGGCACACAATTAACCCTTTGATTGCCCTAGATGTTTAACCCCTTCCAGTGTCATTAACACAGTGACAGTGTATATTTTTAGCTTTGATCACCGTCTTAGTGTTACTGGTTCCCACAAAGTGTCAGTTAGTGTCAGTTATTGTCAGACTGCCAGCCGCAATATTGCAGCCCTGTTATAAGTCGCTGATTGCCACCATTAAAAGAAAAAATTCTAGTATATATACCGCCAGTATATATATATATATATACTGTATATATATAGATGCTATAGCTTTTGCACAAACCAATCAATATATGCTTATTGGGATTTTTTAACAAAAATATGTATCAGAATACACTTTGGCCTAAATTTAACCCCTTCACGCAGGGCGCGCGCTCTCAGCACATATGTTTTTTGCTACATGAACGCAAATGTGCGGCCGCTCGGTGTCTAGGCCCAGACGCCGGGAGGCCGCACATTTGCGTGCGGCTGGCATGCAGGGGTTAAGAAGACATTTGATTTTTTACATTTTTTTTCATGGATATGTTTTATAGCAGAAAGTAAAAAATATTATTTAAAAAAAAAGTCTTCTTTTTTTGTTTATAGTGCAAACAAATTAAAAAACCCATAGGTGATCAAATACCACCAAAAAAAAACTCTTTTTGTGGGAAAAAAATAGTAAAATTTAATTTATGTACAGCGTCGCATAACCGCGCAATTAAATTAAAGTAACGCACTGCCGTATTACAAAAAATGGCCTGGTTATGAAGGAGGGTAAATCTTCTGGAGGACAAGAGCACTCTGATGAGCTGGCCCGAACTACCTCTTGAGGGAGTCTATTCCACATTTTCACAGCTCTTACTGTGAAGAAGCCTTTCCACATGTGAAGATTAAATCTCAAATGTAAATCATATCCCCTTGTCCTCTGTAATGATCTGAAAGGGAATAACTCTACACCAAGTTCAATTTATGGACCACCTATGTATTTATATATGTTGGTCATATCCCCACTTAATCTCCTCTTCTCAAAACAGAATACATTCAATTCAACACATTTTTCCTTAAGTTAGGTCTTAAAGTACATTTCAGAGAACACCTCATTCTTAGCTTTACTTACCTCACTGTACACTCTCACCCTTTAAGAAGTTTATCTTTCTATAAAGCGAATTATATTTGATCGCATTACGTAATCCCATCCCCCTGCGATATTGCATACTCAGTCTACTTAGATGCTTATTCTAGGCTGAGTGCCTCCGTCTAAAAGTCCTTCAGATGTTTACTCTGTGACGCCTTGGAACTGGACTTCTTTCAGCCTCCATGTCTCTGCCTTGTTGATGCCCCGTCTTTGGTTACTTTTCCATTACGTTCCAAGCTGCTGATAACTGCAGATACCATAGTGCCTTTTCTGTCTTTCTTCTGGAAAGATGAAACTCATTAAAGTTATTTGATTACTTCTTTTACTAAGGGAATACATCAGTCCCTAGTGAAAGGACAGAATCACAACCCATCCTTTGTCTATCATAACAAATTCTTAACAGAAATCAATAAATGCAATGGATTCAGATGAACTATAAAATCTGCAGTAGCAAGTTGTCCATATATTATTTATTAAGAAAACCATTAAGACACATTTGTACAAGAGACTTCTGAGTTAAGTGCCTTAGGCCTTAATGAAGTCCATATTTTGTATCATTCATAGACAGCATACTGCAATAAAATTTATATCATCAACATAATATTAATAGGGGAATATGATGATGTAATAGCTTTGATAAAGCCAAGATAGAAATCATATGGGAAAGAAGATGATTTACTGCATTGCATTCCTACTTATTTGATTAAAGAGGGGAAATTCTTATTATGATTTGTACTTTGGCATAGTGATAAATGTACTTGTAATATAAGATACTGTACTCTTCTAATGCTCACTGGTTTGCAAATATTCCACAAGTGAAACACCATAATCAGGGGCAGACTGACAACTCATGGGGCCCCCGGGCAATAGGGGATCATGGGGCCCCTGTGTCCTTGCCCAAACTCAAAAAAGCCTATGAAAAAGGTACCAGGGGCATCTCATGGGGCCCCCTACTGATCCCGGGCCCTCAGGCAGTGCCCGAGTCTCCAAATGGTCAGTCCGCCCCTGGCCATAATATACATTATATATACATAAAGATGTACACATACATGACAGTATCCTCAATTTGTGATATTACAAATCAGTCCTCATGCACACTTGGCATTTCCCTCACATGGCTGATAAAATCACCCATCTCACCAGCTGTGCATTACCTCTAAAACTTCTCAGAAAGTATCTTATGTTGTTAAAAAGCTACAAATGTAGCAAACATAAAAAAAAGGGAAAACAATATAAATAATAAACAATGGATGAAGAATTCAATTTTTTTGCTGATGTGTAAGTGCATTAACCCATAGCAACCAATTAAAATTCATATTATTTTGGTCTGATTTAAGCAGATTACTTCCTATTGGTTGATATGTGTTACTGCACTGTGTTATACTGACTGTGGAACCTAAGGGGTTAATCTCTGCATTCTGTAAAAAGATTGTTTGATCCTTCCTTCTCTGATCCTCCTTTTCTTCTACTGTCCCCAATCCATTTTCTGATAGTACAGAGCCTTAGGAGTCACTATGCACATGCTCAGTTTAGTGTGTACTGCTAGAGAGTTTTTTTTTTTTTTTTTTTGCTTTGGGAGAGTGCATGTGATCAGCGCAGGACCAATCAGCACTGTCCAGACAGAGGGTCAGGGGTTATGCAGCCTCCCAGGACAGTCAGAATAGAATGAAAACTCCTCCTACAAGATTTAACCAGTGCTCTGGTGGTCACTGATAGAAGTCACAAGACTGTTATATCCTGCTGATGAAAAAGGGTATTTTGCAGTTTATATTTACTAAAATAATTGCATTTCCATGTTGTGTGTACTGTGGGAGACCAGATATAGTGAATGCAGGTCCTGGATTTCGTAACACTTTAATCTATTTCTCATTAAATCACTTCTTGCTGTGTTTTTCTGCCCCTTGTAATGTCCTCCAAGAGTTCCTGAACCTTTCCCTTTCTCATTTGTTTGGAATGAGCAGTACCAGGGGCGGACTGACCATTTGGAAACTCGGGCACTGCCCGAGGGCCTGGGGTCAGTAGAGGGCCCCATGAGATGCCCCTGGTACCTTTATCATAGGCTTTTTTGAGTTTGGGCAAGGACACAGGGGCCCCATGATCCCCTATTGCCCGGGGGCCCCATGAGTTGTCAGTCCGCCCCTGAGCAGTGCACATTATTTGTGGTCATGTACACTGCTCTATGCAAGCTGCAAATCCTATACTCTATAGTGCATCTCAGAAGCAAGCAAGAGAAGGTGGCTACATTCCTACATACAGTGGGAACAAGCAGAATAAAAGTAGTCACTCTCTAACAGGAAGTCAGAACACAGAAGCATAACAGAAGGAATTTGGAGATTTGGAGGAGGATAAGAGCAATAGAAGATACTTTTTGAGTTATTTTTTGTTTGAATTTTTTTTCAGTCAGAGTCACTTTAAATACTGCGGTCTTGGAAATGACCAAAACAGTTTATTCATTTATGTACTGCCTTGTGTGAAGGTGTGATTCACACACAATCTGTGTGTAAGGTGTATTCCGATCTTTAGTCTAAACCAGCAATGGGCAAACTACGGCCCGCGGGCCGTATACGGCCCGGCGGACCTTTTAATCCGGCCCGCGGAGCTAGGCTCCCCTCACAGTCCGCCCTGAAGACCGGTGTAGCATGAAAATCTGTCTCCTATGAGGATCTGTCCCCCTCGACGTATCTGCGCATGTGCCGGAGATCGCCGATCGGCTGCTAATGCCTGAAACTGGCACATGCGCAGATACGTCGAGGGAGACAGATCCTCATAGGAGACAGATTTTCATGCTACACCGGAACGGCGCGGGACACGACAAGAGGAACGCGCGGAGCAAAGGTAAGTGAATTGACACAGGGGGGACTTGGGGACTTAATATGGGGGATGAATTACTATAGGGGTGATGAATTACTATATGGGGGATGAATTACTATGGGGGATGAATTACTATGGGGGATGAATTACTATATGGGGTATGAATTACTATGGGGGATGAATTACTATGGGGGATGAATTACTATATGGGGGATGAATTACTATGGGGGATGAATTACTATATGGGGGATGAATTACTATATGCGGGATGAATTACTATGGGGGATGAATTACTATGGGGGATGATTTACTATATGGGGGATGAATTACTATATGGGGGATGAATTACTATATGGGGGATGAATTACTATATGGGGGATGAATTACTATATGGGGGATGAATTACTATGGGGGATGAATTACTATATGGGGGATGAATTACTATGGGGGATGAATTACTATATGGGGGATGAATTACTATGGGGGATGAATTACTATATGGGGGATGAATTACTATGGGGGATGAATTACTATATGGGGGGATGAATTACTATGGGGGATGAATTACTATGGGGGCTGAATTACTATGGGGGATGAATTACTATGGGGGATGAATTACTATGGGAGATGAATTACTATATGGGGGATGAATTACTATGGGGGATGAATTACTATGGGGGATGAATTACTATATGGGGGATGAATTACTATGGGGGATGAATTACTATGGGGGATGAATTACTATATGGGGGATGAATTACTATGGGGGATGAATTACTATATGGGGGATGAATTACTATATGGGGGATGAATTACTATGGGGGACGAATTACTATATGGGGGACGAATTACTATGGGGGACGAATTACTATATGGGGGATGAATTACTATACGGGGGATGAATTACTATGGGGGATGAATTACTATATGGAGGATGAATTACTATGGGGGATGAATTACTATATGGGGGATTAATTACTATGCTTACTATGGGGGAATATTACTATACTTACTATGGATGACACATACACATCATTCATCTACTCTTGGTCCGGCCCCCGGGTCCAATATATGAACCCATTGCGGCCCTCAAGTCAAAAAGTTTGCCCACCCCTGGTCTAAACCCACCCTGGCTGATGAACAATATAAAATAGCTTTACAAACTATTGCCACTTTGTTAATTATGAACAAAACATTTGTTTAATTAATCTTCCATGCAATTTAGAAAATAAATAACCTGCTTTTAGGTGAAAACTGTGCTCAAAGAACTCTGGGGGATGCCATAGCTGACCTTTATTTGAGAATGCTAATTATCTGGCTAGTAGTCACCACTGGTGACTTCTGATGACAGCCATATACCTTCTCAGTAGTCCCTTTCACAGAAGCCAGAACCCTCCCAGTGAGAAACTTAAAGAAATTGTAAATATATATATATAATTTTTTTTTTTCTTTAAATAACAAACATGTTATACTTAGCTGCTCTGTACAATGGTTTTGCACAGAGCAGCCTCGATCTTGCACTTCTTGGGTTTCCTGCTGTCTCCCCTGGCTCCTCCCCCCTCCAAGCGACTGCCTTCTGAGCCGTGTTCTGTGTGTCCATTGACACATGTAGCTTGGCTCAGCCCCACCACTTGCACCTTCCTCACTGGCTGTTTTTTTACCTTAATGCAGGGAATGCATTCAAATATATGCAATCCCTCGCCATGTAAAACAAGCCATTTAGTTTAAAATAGAAATGAAAAGCAAAACGTCTTCATGGGGGTCGTGGTTTGGATAAGGTGGCATGTGGACGTGAATTGGCACAGCTTCCATCTCTCACCCTGCACCCTGCCTGTTTACCACCGCTGTCCCAGCCATCATGAGCACTGCTAGAAAGAAGAAGCTGGCCATCCCACAGACATCAGCAAAGAAATTTTGATAAAGCACTTCGTCCCCCAGAGCACTGCCTAACCCAGCCTAACCCAGCCAATACAGCAGATCCAAGATGGTGGGTCCCAAGAGTGCCATGAGGTCCTGTTTGCTGGGGGTTGTATCTCCTTCCCCAGTTCCATCCTGGCAAAGCTCTCTGATCGGCTTTGATAGCATGGACCATTTTCTGTATATCCAAGGCTCTCTGGGACCAAGTGCTACTCCAAGCAGGGCAGAGAGGGACTCAAAGGACTTGAGAACCCTCATCAGAGCCTTTCCTACTAGGGCAGACATTGAGTCCCTCATCCAGCATAAAGAAGAGACACACAAGCAGGAGCTGCAAGGGATATGCACAGACATCCAACAACTGATGGAAAGAGTGACTGCAGGGGAAACAGTGGCATAGTCTCTGCACTATCTCTTGTCAGCACTGGAGAATGCTAATGAGCAGTATTTGCAGGATATGGCCTCCTTACATCTCCACATAGCAACCTGGAAAGCTGGAGCCATCACAACAACCTGCAGCTCCAGGGCCTTCCAGAAGCTATGGGCACCAAAAACTTGCATGACACCATCATGACAATCTTCCACCGGCTCCTGGATTCTGAGCCCCCAGCAGAAATCATCATTAATATGGTCCACCAGATACTGGGTCCCAGATCTTCTGACCCACCCAGTCACAGGGACATTTGTCAACTCCTCTGCTATGCCCTAAAAAGAGGAAATCCTTCAGAAGGCATAGTACCCATGGACTTTGATGGGGTGACTATCAGAATCCTGCCTGACCTGTCAAGAGACACCTTGATGAGGAGAGCCCTACTGAGACCACTACTGGACAGGCTGTGGAATTGGAGGTCACTTGAAGCTGGGTTTCCCCTTTCACCTAGTCATCCATAGAGGCAACACTTCTTTCAAACTGCAGTGCTACACAAATCTCCCATACCTATTTGCATTTCTGGAAACAGAGCCAATCCCAGTCCCAAATTGGCTCCAATTACTTCTTGAATGGAGCTCGAGGCCTTCTAAATCTGTAAACAGGTCAAGTCTTCCACCCGACCTCAGAGATCTCACCAAGCACTGGGGAATGTTCAGTCTGTGAGTAATAATAAACTATAATGACTCTGTGTCCTGGGGAACCATTAGGACCCCTTCTGCTGTTTAAGCATTCTCATTTTTCTGGGGTATGGACAAATCTGAACTATGTATGACTCTTTTCTTCCAACACAGAACTGCCTGAACGCTCTCTTTTTGTTTTTGTTTTTTTTTACCAACTCCCAGGTTCTGAGTTTGGCCAGATTTTGAGTGACTTGGTCTCAATGACTTTATACTGCTACCCCCATGCATCAGCAATATGTGTATTACCTATAGCTATATTGGGGGT